TATTCGTTTGTTCATGTCAGTCAGTTTCGACGTCGCCGTCGGCCGCCAGAAAGCTTGGCGAACTATCCGCAGCAGTTATTAAACGTTTTAAATTGCTTTTTGTGTGTATTCACTATCAAAACATAGTATAAATGAAAGGTATAGAATAAAAATGAAATGATAATTTTTTTACCTCACAGGTAGCATGTGATTGATCGAAGCCCCGTGTTTCGAACTATTCTAATGACGTTATCCGCAGCTGGTCTTTATGGCTTTGCCGAGGAAAATGCGAGAATTATATATATAAAGTGAAGACAATCTTTTAGCATTCATGGGGACATCCCCATAGTTATTAAACAAATAAATGAAGTATATGTATAATGAATACATTTGTACGACAATCTGTGAAATGAACGTATTAGCTAGAATGAATTGCTAATATGTCACATTGCAAAATTGTTGGGAAAAACTCGTTAATATAAATTTGCTTCAACTGAACAGCCCGTTTTGCTGATTTTCGCTGGTGGATGTCAATTATTTGAATGGCAAACACAAATATCTTTAAAATCCTGATAATATTATGCTGCTATTATATTCTACAACCGTTTTGTTTCACTTTAGTTATAAATTATTTGAATTCTTATTTATTTACAGAACAGAGGATTAATAATAATTAATAATCTAAAACAGTAACGGTCTTACTTACCTGTTCTGATTTTATTAAATAGTTAGTTAAATTCAAGTGAATCCTGCACCTTAATTATCCCATTAATATCTATATATGTATACCACTACTATGATTAAAAATTCGAAAGACTGTCTTTCAGTTTGTCTGTTTGTTATTTTTTACGACTAAGCATATATTATTTACACAACAAAACTAATAATAATAAAATTAATAAACATATATTTTTATTTTCTCATGAAAATAGAGTATATTAAGGTGAGGACAGGGTGCAGATGTTATTTTTTATGTCAAAAATAATGTAAAGAAGATTGTAACACCTATTATAAAAAGTTACTAATTGCTTTCCGCGACTTCGTTTGTTTTTTTTTATATATAAGGTTCATATTCGTGCATTATTCTGGTACAATCTATCTTCACATTTTTCGTTAAGATTCATTGAGCCATTTAGTAATGAAAAGGTCACAAACAGACTTTCACATTTATAATATTAGTTTCGATGTGAATAAGCGTAATGGAACTATATTATTATACTTATAAAAATAGATACCTAGATATTATATGTGATTTAGATCTTGGTTAATTTTTTTTTTAAATAGATAAGTCCATAGAAATTTATTCATGGTCTTATAAAATCAGACGGCACGATTAACTTTGTTTGTGATGAATTTTTGATGATTTCTCGGAAACTATTAGAATCATGGTTCTATTTTTCCTGTAACATTCATGTTATACCTACCTCAACTCTAATTAATTCAAAAATACGCTTCACAAGATTTGTAGAGGTAATATTTTTGTTACGTTTACCGGGTTTTTGACTATAACCCAAACTAAGTAAAACTCCAACCACAATAATAATAATTATTACTCTATTTCTTATATTAGAAACTCTTTTTTACACAAAAAAAATATTTTTATATCCTCTGTTCATTTTGAAAATCTGTACATATATTTTTATTTGATCTTATAAATATTTATTTATATCCGAGAAAAGTATGTGTAAGGTTGTCTGTACTTCATAAGTACAGCCAAGCATCTTACTTTGTAATCTGTAATATCGGATTGGATGACGATATATGGTAGTTAAATTACAATGTATGGAGGTATTAGGCTTAGTCATCCGGAATGACACTCTTCACATATGTGGTACACCTATATAAGCATAAAATGTAAATAAACTATCTTAAAAATAAGGAATTAAGTTTAGTTTATTGTCAGTTCTTCTCAAGTACGGTAGGGAAAAATATTAATTACAAAAACTTGACATTCATAAGCGGCTAAAATATCCTACATAAATAATTTTGAATTAGAAAATGTATATTTCTTGTCACCCAAATAAATGAGTACAATATTTTTCCTCATGAATAAATATAGTTCTTTTGCTTTCCTTATTATTATTACATTATGTCGTATATTGAACCTAATCAGAATGATTTATTATTAATAATTATTATGTGTAAGTATTTAGTTTACTGTACTGCCCAATACCCCTGAGGAACCCCTCCTGGAAACCAGTGTGATAAATTTCTGGTAAATTTGACACGATTGGCTAACTGATCTCACCTCATGAGCATCTTATCATACTCAACTGGTGCCCCACCAGTTAACTCCACGTAAACCGTTAGCGCAGACAGGACCGACAATCCATAAACATCCATTAAAAAAAATCCACTGGTACCACGTGACGGCATGATGTCCCTAATGCTATCATCTTGTTTATTGTCTGCAATTACTTTTATATAAAAAAGACTATTTTAAGTACGAAGTCGTCTGAGTGAATAATACAAATTTGACCGGTTTTAAATCTTAAATTACATATATACTTGAATAAATAAACACCGCCTACACATAACACACCTATTAAACTCGACTCAAAAAAATCTAATGACTCAAGTGGGATGATGTCAGTGCAATATATCAATTTAACATGTAAAATGTACAATACAAGGCTGTTATACAAGCAACATTAATTAGGGGAACAAACACATTGTAATAATGACTTGATGAGTCCTCGCTGCATACATTTTAGTCTTGAAATACATATTATTAGTATTCTGTAGTCAATTATATAAAATGGAAAGCTGATAGCCTTTTTAATTGTCACGAAACTAAGCTTCAATACCATTAAATTTTCAAATATATTAAATAAAAAAACTGAGTTTCGATAAAAATAAAAACATTATATAAATACTTATAAACTTGCAAATCGAAGCAAAAGAGATTGAAGAGGGAAATCTCTTGAACGACTGCATCTACCTATTTGAAAAAAAACGCTATTGTAATAACAAACATAATAATAATCGTAAATTTTGCGTTTGCTTGTAAAATATCATCATATGTACATGATACAATTGTTAGCAAATAGCTGCCTTTTTTACATGTGAAAAATTTCACGAAGACTTATTCAAGACGAGCGAGTTTGCAATACCACTAAAATACTCTCTGTGTACAACGTGGTACCTCTGCTAGAGCCTTGGGTCGCGGTAAAATTCTATTCTCTAGACTCTGGCAATACCAAATACCTACTTAACTAAATTAAAATACATGGCGTTAAAGTTTACCGAAGGATCCAATTTGAAACTTGATAATCTATATCCAATTTGAAACTTTGAAACACAAGATCAACGGCATTCTAACATCGATGCTTTTGTTCCTGGCATCAAGATATTCGGCTAAATTGACTTTTTAGTATTCCAAACGGTTTCCGTATTCATTAAATTACTTAATCGAAGCCGCCGGTATTGTTTCAATAGATGACGTCATACTTGGGATGTACCTACGTTCTCTAAGGAAATCAAGCATCTATTATATTATCTGTTACTAGTTGTTAAAGGACCCTTTTATTTTTAATTTCACATTACAATATACCGTGACATATAGACATAGATAGCACTCTCTCTTTAGTTTTTTTTATACCTACATTGCGGCGGCAAAAATCCCAGAGGAAGAATCCTCAATGCTGAATTGTGACTAATCGAGGCGAAGAGATATCGAGTTTCCTACGAAAAATAAAATAAAATATTTACTATATCTAACGCAGTTTTTATTGTTGTCTTCATACAAGTGTTTTTTACGTATATTATGTAATTCGCATACGTTACAATTAAACATAGATAGAATTGAATCTACACTTTGTTTGTCTACAAATAGAGTATTCTGTATCTTGTCTATATATGTATGTAACTCTAAATTATTTCACTAACTCGCACACATTAAATTGTAAAATACATTTCTTAGAAAAAGCTACAGCTGAGTTTCTTACTCATTCTTTCCAACAGAAAATGCAACACGAATGTGCAAATTTGTGCTTGTATTAATTTTATTTGAATGAAGATTAGTTGTATTATATTCTATCTTTATTCACCATCACCCGTGTCGGTTGAAGTAGTTTGGTAACTCACCGTGATACGAACTATTGTATGCATAAATCCCATTAATAATATAACATTTATCTCAACAACAATGCCGTTGATCTGCTTATCCGATATTATGTAAATTATTTTACACACAATACACAAAATTTTACATGGACTTTCGTGACTTTTAAATCAATGATCTTAATGTTTTACCATACTCTTAATAATTCATGGATATAATTCCTCGATTTACAACTTCAGGGTTCTGTGAATATTGTAAAGTGGAATAGTTTTAGTGAGGATTCTATTATATATAATTCGTCGATTTACAATTTTAGGGTTCTAAGATCATTGTGAAGTGTAATATAATGTAGTTTTAATGATGTTTCGATGTCTGTTTGCACATCAATTTGTATGTTTTATATACATACTTATTATGGAAGATATTGATTTCAATATATATACAGAATATTTATGTAGTCCAAACTTGTATATATATTATTTTCAAATTAAAGTCTCTAATATAAGTCTTTACTGTACATCGTTTAAACACGTACATAGAAATTTGATAATACAATAAGTTATTTATAGAAAACCTTAATCCCGGAAAGTTTTCAGGTAGGCAAACCATATATCAGAGACGAATTACCTACCTTGATCCGTGTAAACTAAGTTGCGAACATTCGCTATTAATTTTATAAGACCTTGTCAAATCAGATTACCCACGTAAGTTCACGAATAGAAGTTCATCCCTCTTGTATCATTAAGTGTCTAATCCTCAACAAGTTTAAGTGGCAAGATACGAACGAATATGCATAAATATCTAAGTTATTACACTTCAGAAGTGAACACGCCTCACCACAGTGCCTGGGAAATTAGATTACATTACTCAAAATGTTTACCGAATGTTATAATAATGTCACATGGTTATACGTGATAGATGACAGTGAAATTTAATTATCATAATTTGTTTCAGGTGGTGTACACATGGCGGGCAGTGGGGCGAGTGTGGCAGGGTCTCAACTAGTACTTGATGAGGCTTGGTGCGCTGTCGTTGACCAATGAGAACAGCGCACGAGAGCATGGATGGGCCGTAGGATGCGCGTCACTCCGGCGCTTTACTTATTGCTGCTGATCTATACACGTGTCTACACTTTCATTCCTGGCGTTGACGGTACGTTGAAATATTTTCTACCATTAAAAATAAAATTACCTTTTAATTATGAAAAAATATATATTGGCTCTCAATTGTTTATACAAACAGCGAAATCCGTTCTTTTACACACAATACGTAAGCCGTAATATAATAAGCCGTTTTCTTGTAAAACCCTTACATCGAAACCAACTGTTATATAAACAAATAACAAAATTAAAACCTGTCGTTTTGGATTCAGTATCATATGGATTTACTTTTAAAGCACAGTTTTGTCTTCAAAGAAATAAATGCAGTAGAAATTTCTAACAAAGATAGGCTTTGTACACAGTCATAAGTCGAAACAGAGTACCCTGTTTCGCCTATGTCATCCGCCAAGCATCCTTTTTAAGTTATAGCAGCCTTACCATAAGTGCTGCCGCGGATTTGGATTGCCATCTGCACTCACCCGCTATCGTCCGGTGAAGCTGTAAAGACCAGCTGCGGCGAACAGCAATAGAGTAGTTCGAAAAAAAAGTGCGTAGTTACCATCAGTGCGTCAGTTTGTTTACCACTATAGATACATAGAAAATTCACTTTACTCCGAAACTGGAACAATTGCCGAAAATTCGGTTTCGTTATAAAACTGAATTTCGTTCGGACACTAGAAAGTACTTTAAGGGATTGCTTTCATTTTGTTACATGATGGATACTAACCAGTATAGTTCATGACACAGTTTGTTATCGACAACATAAGAAGTAACATGTCCCTAGAGAATTTAACATGATTGATGATTTCTTCAATATGATATGAAACGAATACTTGATTAATGTCGTAAGATTTCGGATTGTTGTACCCTATCCTATACATTCTATTCATATAGCTATATGTATCTCGGGTCCATGCGGTCCTTAGGGTATTTTCTTTTAGTCTTACTTTATATCTTGTCTTAAGGGCCGATAGTAGCAAGTCCGCGCCTAATACAAATATTGGCTATTCATAAGTGTATGTATGTGTTTTCTTCACACAACTTTTAATATATCATTAAGTACATTTCTTATAATACAAGTGCTGCTTATTAACGATATAAAACCGAGTGCAATAATATGAAAATTTAGGTAACATTATATAATTAGAATGTGAAATACAGGAATAGTTATAGTAACGAATGTTCTGATATTGACAGGACCAGTATCCCAACAGGAAGCCTTGGAGGGCGGCAACACAACCCTACACTGTGACTCAACCGCCGACACATCCGGTGATGAACTCATGTTGCTTGTATGGTACAAGAACAACGCACCTATATTTAGGTAAGAATTATTTTGTGCATATAATCTAGTATAATCCTCCGATCGATCCCCCGTCCCATTCAAACGGGGATTGAAATTACGATGGCCTGAGTCGAGGTTCGAACCCCTAGCGGGTATCCGTCAGGTGGAAGTTGGCCTTCAACCGCTCCATAAGTCCTTAAGCGGTTTTGGAGTGCCATCTGCACTTGCTTCCTATCGTCCGGTGAAGCTGCAAAGGCCAGCTGCGGTCAACAGCATTAGAGTAGTCAAAAAAAATTGTGTATTTATTTATCTTATATACTAATATATAGAGTAGTCCGCGTCGGTACCTTTATCTCATTCATTATACCAAGCAGCTATCTTTTCGAGCTATATTTCAAATTGAGAATGCATTATAGCAAGGAAACTTTGTACAGTGAAACCGAAATGGCAACGCATAATAGTGATGTACCTGGTACATAATATGGTTGTTTCCATTTTACATCAGCTTGTCTCCATTCGAGTTACATAAGAAATATCTTTAGTAATAAATAAATTATTTGCTTATTCATGTCCCAGAAACATAAATACATACTATTATGACGTTCGTATAAGATTGTATACTATAATCAGCTTCTACGATAATATTATTGACATTATACATTATCTGGTTTCTTAAAAACTATAACCGCATATAATACATCATTCAATGCTTGTAGGTACATTAAACCTTTTTTAGGTTATCACACAAATATATTATTGAATGTATAGTGTTCAGGCCTAAAGCGCCTGATATATTTTAATAGCACCAAGAAGATGCATTATATAGTCGCGCACTTGTTTTTTGTATACCTGCATAATTTTTATTTTTTTTTCTTATATAGACGTTCGTCGATTATTGAGTTCACTTCTTTTGTACTTACCTAATTTGTAAAACGTTGTCGAAATTAAAATACTTAAATATATAAATCTGGGTTTCATTAGAAGCTCCATTATGTTATACAAGACATAAATTGGTGGCCCATGAGGGGAAACAATATTATATGAAGAAATCACACATTATCATCTGATCGAAATCAAGTGAATCGGTCATGCTATCTTCCTCTGAGAGTGATTTGTGTGTAGGAAAGGGTTTTAACAAATACCAATCTCGACCTCTATTTATTTTCTCGGAGTCAAATCTATTCTGAAAAACAAAATTGAATCCCTCGACTTTAATATTAGTAACATAATAATCATAGCCAAAGCTATATATATAAATATAAAAATAAATTAAAATTGTTCATATATATCCGCTCCAAAATACTTTAATTTTAATTATTTAATAAAAAATATTACTTATGTTTTTTATACTTGCAGGTACTTTTGTGTTTGATTATTTCACAAAACCACTAAAGAACTGTTTAAAAGAATAATTTACGTGTTTCACTTTTACACTGTGTGAACGACAAAGAAATTGATTGATTGATGTGTGTCTCTCCGATGTACGGTCATTAAAATATATTTCCAAATTAAAATTTAAAAAACATAATCTCTCAGTTTTCAAACATCGAATTAGTTGAGTTAAAACTAAAACTTAGTAATTCGAGGGTTTACTTTGAATTTGAGTTATAGAGACAAGGTGAACATAAAAACATATCAGCAAAAAACTTTTACCACTTAAAAACATAGTCAAGACCACTTGAAGAACAAAAATGATAAAAAATGTGACTGTCCCTATTAATTTGCTTGTTAACTTATCTCCACTACAAACGCTTAACACAAAACAAAAGGTACTGATAAATGGGATACATTGCATGTTGTCGTCTAAAATGGTGCAAATGTGAAATCTATAGACTACTTGATCTATAGAATACTAGATATTACTTAGAAACATTAAGGATATATACAGCATTGAATAAAAGTTGAAATAAATTAATATAAAATAGATTTTCTATTTTATTACACAAAATATATTCACTATATTATTGGGTACAGCAGTTATCGAAATATGCAATCCTAATACACATTTAATGGACTGTGGTAGTGAGTCCTCATTTATTACAAAAACATTAAAGGACCAACTCTCATTAGATTCTAATCCTATAGACGCGCTAAATGTTATTGGTATCATAGGAAGGAGTGCTCTGCGTTTTGGAATGTTGAATTTGCATAAGTTAGACAAAATGTGGATTTGTTCTTCCATAATCTGTTATTATCTATTACTAAGTATAGAACTAGTATACTAGTACCTTATAACTAACTATTAGTGAAAGCTTAACTTAAGTATTAAATTAGTCAAAAAATACATCATATATTCCAGTATATTGTATATTGTACAATGTATATAAAATAACGATATTAATTCAATAATGAAGATGCGTAAAAACTTCACCTTGAACTTACGGGGATAATATTGAATAAATAAATTTGCGAAACCTTTAAGAATTCTACAGTTATCACACAAATATATATGCGTTAAACTCGAATGTATAATTACATAATACGGTAGGTATTAGGTATGTCTTGTATACCTACGTTTTGTAGCATATGACGTATATAACTAATTACAAAGACATTTTGGTCCAAAAAGACAAAAGATAGACTGGGATGAACCAGTCCCATATGATATTAGGGAACAGTGGATAAACTTTAATATATATTTTTTATGGAACTGGTATGGTAATCAATAAAAAATATACTATTATAATAATATCCAAGGTCAATAGATTAAAAATAATCATCAAAACCCGTTCTATTTTGACAAAAATATACCGTAACATAGAGACAAAAAAAGAATAGAAATTTTCGTTGAATTTAGAAGATCTCTTTCGCAGTAAGTTTACTATTGATAAAACTTCAAGTTAGATATTTTTCACAAATCATATTTTAAGTTCAATAATATCCAAGAAAGATACAATCACTTCAAAATATTTAATACTGTATTATAACTTTTATATTTTACATTTATTTCATTTACTAAAGATATAAACGTATCTGAATAAATTCGGAGAATCTAAATAGAGAAATGTTTAGTTACTTCAAAAGACTTTTACTTTGAATAAATATGCGTCTATATCGTTCAAGTCAACAAGATGATTAATAAGTAAATATAATAATATGTATAATAGTGAATTATACATATTATTGATATTTTAAGTTTTAAATGTTATGATGACTTTCGCCATCTATGGACCCTGATTAACATCTATCTATCTACACTAATCTTTGATAAGAAATCCAGATTTATTCTTAAAAACAGATTAATTGAATTGAAGTCCAAGTAACATATAATTGCTTCCATTATTAACGATTCTATTATCGGAGAGAAGAGATTTCTAGGTCGCAACTTAAATATATAGAAACCAAATATAAACGAAATAGCAATGACCGATGCCACAGTTTCTAAAAAGCAAACCTCAAAACTGTACTGAGTGAAATAATTACGTGTTTGTTACCTAGAAACATCGGGTATTATAACTTTTATATTTTACATTTACATTTTGTACTAATCAGTGTAATACACGACTTCATTACATAGATATAGCAACATATGAAGTTTTAGTGAACTCATGTCTCAATGTCTCAAAGGCTTGCCCATAGGCGATTTACAGTGTATTAATAATTTGACATGATATGAAATTATCACTGATCACTAGTTAAGTTACAAATTTGTTAAAGAAAACGAAATTAGGTTACCAATGTAAATGGCCCACTGTCCCCATTCTCTTAATTAGCAAAAACTCGACCCGATGAAACTTGGATACCAATCTTTGTCACTTCGTCAGAGTAGGCGGTACTCAACTAATGTCTGTTCACTTCATTCACCCTCGTCCGATTTTAAGGATATTGACCACTACTACGTGTTTGGAAAATAAAGTAAAATGTGTTAAAGAAACAAATCCCACTAGCCCATTCAGGACACCGCGCCTGTCTTTATCGGCCTGGGTGAAAAGAACACACAATTTGTATTTCAAGTACATACTTACTTACGTAGATAAAAGGATAGCTACATATATATAAAGAACTAAAAATACATTACTGTACAACTTCTCCTGGGTCATTTAAAGTTTCCGGAGTGACTAACAATGTAAATATTTAACGTCCAAACATCTATAGGTATGGTATATACATAATTGTGCACAATTGTAAGCATATCAAAAGACACAAATACCTCTCGCTATTACAATAAAATTAACTTTACCGCCCGTAAATTATATCTAATGCTCCCAATATCTGATAAACCTTATCAAGGATGGGGCGCCTATCAAAGCGACATAACTATGTAAAAAAGCATATCAAAATAACAGTGGAACCTATCCCAAAATCCGATTAAGATAGGTTATATAAAAATAAACGGTAAAAAGAGATAGCTATCGGTTTTGGTTATATTGTTCAGAGATTAGAAGAGATATTAACTAACCATTACAATAAGTCCTAATCTCCTACTTAGTACAGCCTATTATCAAAAGATCAATCATAATGGAATGTTTTTTTTTATTCGCGGGATATCTTCAGTTACGTTGAAGATATAAGCTTAATATTCGTGTTTGTCCTGTAAGTAATCGAATTATTTTTTTCTTTTAAAATGGAGCCTTAAATTTTATCGATATTAATTATAATTGACAGCTTCGGAGACCTAGCAGTTTAGCACATTACCTTACTTCTGATAGTTGTGAATTCGATTCCTCGCACGATGTATTTTTATTTATGACTATTATTGTTTGTATTGGTCTAGGAGTTTTCTATGAATAATATACATGTATGTAGAAAAAAATTAAGTTGTCTATTACCCATGACACAAATTTTGCTTAGAATATATGGCACTTTGTGAATAGTCCAGGGTTATTATTATTGCTATTATCTTAGAAATAAATACAACGGATGTTTACAGTTTCGACGCGCGAATAGAGACTGAATGGTCGAATGAAGTCTTCAACACGAGTGGAAGATTAAAAGCAGACGTAGTGAGCCAGCCCACAGCCCTCACAATATCGACCTTGACCCAGGACGACCAAGCTTTATATCACTGCCGTGTCGACTTCCTTATTTCGCAGACCAGGAACATTGGCGTCAATTTAACTGTCACAGGTAATATATTTATTTGTTATCTTCTGTTTTTACTTACGACTTCGTTCAAGTGACTTCAAATGAATAAATCAACTTGTTAAATAATTTTAATGATAATAGAACCACAATAACGGCCATACAAGTTCGCTGCCGCTACCGCGTTCACATTACTCTCCGCGCACTTTTAGTGTTTGATAGCCCATTTATCGAGGAAGGCTATACGGACTATAGGCACAGAGGCTGCAATGAAAAATGTTGTAAAAACTGGGAAATATGACGCAAACGAAGTGTCGCGGGTCAGCTAGTTGTACATAATGGACATTAAATATAAACCTGTCCGAAGTAATTCTTAATGTAGCATTTTAATTATCCCGGATTAACTTTATCCCAGATCCATACCATTGTTCTAAAAAAGAGGGCTACAAACCCTTAAACAACCTGTCTTGTTTAATCCATAAGATAACTTAATCTTATTATCACGTATTATCTTCGTAAAGCACCTGACCATCTTTCAATGACATACATATAGTATATTACATATTATATTAAGTAGGTATACTTGAGAGACCCACTGGTTTCAAAGAGTTCAGATGTGGAAATATCTCTTATTGCGAAGGAAGCACCGATATTAAACCAAAAATTAATAGGATATTTCATGTTTAACTATTTTATATGTAAACCGATGATATTTTCTTTCCTAAAAGAAAAGTTTTTTTTACTTATATTTTGATGGCCTCGCTGGTGTAGCGGTTTCGCTCATCGACTGCCAATAGTGTCGGGTTCAGTTTCCTGCCCAGTACTAATATTTCTAATTTATGAGTACGAGTATTATTTGTATTGTTCTTGATATTTTCTATGTCCATATATTATGTATGGATTTACAAAAAAAGAAGTAAAGTATTTCTTTCAATTGTCTAGTATCCTTAACTCGAGCTCTGCTTAGCTTGAGACTAGGGTGTTGTGTGAATAATCCTAGTTTATTATTATTATTATTCCAATAGTTTCTAGTAAGAATAAACATACGTATTAATATCAATATAATATTCTTTAATATCACTGTGATCATATTGCAATCCCAGATTGCAATTCAATTCGGTTTAATACCTCAGAAACTTTAGATAGGTACTATCATATTAGGTATGTATTTTATCCCATATCGTGTACTCCCCTACTTTGAAATGTTGTTTCTCTTGTTCTACTTTCATATACAGTCTCGTCTAACACAGGCTTTATTTTGTTTCGTTTCATATTTCCGCGAATGTAAGCATTTGTACAAATCCTAAAATCAGTTACACACAAAAGACATTACGTCTTCTTCTTTGGTTTATAGTTATCGGCATAATTGTTGTTTAAAGTCTAATAACTTTAAACAAAGTTATTCGTGATAAAATATAACATAGCCTGTGTATATATAATATATATTATCATGAAAATATTTAATATCTTCCTGCCTTTGGAGACGGCTATTTTATAAAGAGAATACTAAAATAACTTTCAAGTAGATAGGATGAAGAATGTACTAATAAATATAGTGAAAAAACTAAAATTTATAATAATCCACATAAAATATGAAATATTTCTAACAATGCTTTTACTTTTTTTTTAATGGATAAATATGGAATGGTGCACCCAACTACGCTAACGATATACGCTGTCGCGGCATGAGTAAGATATTCTAGAACGGTGTTTTCCAATTAGTGGTACGCGTACCCCCGGGGTACGTGAAGTTGCACCAAGGGGTACGTGCGGCTATCAGTAAAACAAACATACACACACTCACAAACTTTCACATTTATCATATTAGTGTGATTGCTACAATAAGGGGTACTCAAGGTTGTTGGTGGGAACCACTGTTCTAGAATGAACATAAAGTCGGTTAGTTAGTCCATCAAGGCGAATTCACTAGGAATTAACCATGATGGTGTCTAAAAGGGACCAACCTAATAGACGCTAAGCGTAGCTAGTATGAAGCAACTAGTTCCCATTATTGAGGACCACATCCCTCCAATTCTTTTACTGTACCATCAGATTCCAATTTATCCACTTTAGAAATGCATCCGCCTTGATTAACTTCTATTAACTTTGCTAGGATATGCTAACTGCCTCCTTATCTTCAATCCAATTCTACCAGGCTTCACTTCTGTAGAAAAAATCTCTAAGTTTTCGTTTAGAGTTGCATTACTTGAATATAGCATAATTATCATAGTTTCATGTATTCTCAATGTACAGACAACTATCGCTTACGTTTTTTATATATATACATATAATTACGATTATAAACCCAATGATTATGTTCTGGAGAACAACTTGGAGGATATGGCCACATTTTCCCGAGAATATTTGAATCCAACGTGGTAAGAGGGCAAATCTACTCACCCGCCTCGTCCTCTCCTAGATTAATTTTATTCGTATTCTCTGGAAACTGTATATTTAATACTCCTGACAAGATACTTATATCATGTAATACCTTCTGTATTTGAGAAATTATGCAGACTATGCAAAAGAATTGTGATTTTTTCATTATTTTCATTATTTAACTTCATGATGTGATTTATGCCTATATGTGTTTCTGATGTATAATCTATATTACTGTAAAGTTTCATCAAAATCCGTTCAGTAGTTTTTTTGTGAAAGAGTAACAAACATCCATCCATACTTATAAACTTTTTCGTTTATAATATTATTAAGATAAGATATTTTTAGTTCTCACAGATTTAAAATAATCGCAAGTACGTAATTTGCAAAATAGACTCTGCTCGCATCTGAACGATGTATTTCTCATTGTCGTAACTTTCATCTATTTATCTAAATTACATTCGTAGTGTAAACGATTTGATATGAATAAATACTATAAATTAGACACTGCTGTTGCAGTATCTAATCTATACATATGAATAAAATTGGAGTATCTGTTTGAAATATTGAAATAACCGTTTTTACTACATACATATAAATACGGTACATACACCAAAAAACATTTTTTACAATTTTTGTGTCTGTATGTTCTGGCTTATCTCTGAAATGGCTGAACCGATTTTGATAAAAATTTTTTGGGAAGTAGCTGATGTAATAAGGAGTAACTTTTATTTTAGAAAAAATATTTTATTTCAGAAAAATTAAGTTCCACGCGGACGAATTAGCGTGTACAGCTAGTTAAAAATAAACACTATAACTCTACTAGCACCCAATTAATCTACAATCAATGATGGTTATTATGTGTGTAGGATTTAATTACACCTATTTTCGATAAATGTAATAATACACGGCGGAATATTATCGTACTGAATATCCTAATGTATATTTTATAAAAATATGATAATGTGTTTATAAATATTTAGATGTTTATTAATCTTCTTAATATAAATGTTAAGATCAAATTATATTTGATTGGATTTTAATTAAATATTGCAAACAGATTATGTATACATATTTAAATAGTACATTTAACCAGTGTTAATACACGGCGGAATATTGTCGTACTGAATATCCTAATGTATATTTTATAAAAATATGATAATGTGGTTATAAATATTTGGATGTTTATTAATAGATCAAATTATATTTGATTGGATTTTAATTAAATATTGCAAACAGATTATGTATACATATTTAAATAGTACATTTAACCAGTGTTAATTGGATAGCGCTGCAGTATATAGTATATAGCTAGACTAAAGCAAAAGAAGGCTAACAGAAAACCATTTAACTTAATAGAAATAACGCTTAGTAAATATTTTTCTTTGTGTCCATTGGGGAAAAGGCGAGTAGGCAGTTTCTCTAGAAAAAACTCAATGCCCTGAAATGCTAGACAGTTTTCCGAAATTATTCCGGGCCCGTCGACAAGTCTGCGCCTAGCCAATTCACATGTGACATGAACAGTCGAATTATTATTCAGATCATGTCACGTAAATATTACTTGAGTGACGTTATATTCAGGTGAAAATCATAAGGGTTAGATATCATTTTATGTTAATAATGTGTTAAGTAAAATATATATATATATATATATACTGATATGCCAGTTAATAGTAAAAGATAACTGTCATCTCCTGTATATACCACCGATTACCGTGATACCTCTAATTAATTTTTTTTTTTATTTATATAACAAGAACTCAACACATTATGGCATTTTCCATAATCTTACAATGAAATAGGGAGGACAACTGACAATAATAAAAATATATAATTTATGATAATATATTTTTTATTTTAATACATTATATATGATAGAAAAGTTACGAGTTAAGATAATATATCTTATTATTATTACTATTAATTATTTATATAATATATAATTACTCACTTTTTTCATGTCTCTTCAAAATCTAACTATATGGCAATCTAGAAAATAAAACTTCGATAACAAAATTCGCCATCATCCCTCTTTCTCACTTCATTCTGCCACCAGCAGATTACTTTGCAAGCCATATACCAGTATGATCGATGAGATACAGCAATGAAATTACTGAAGAATCTCTACCCGGTAATTTCTCTGCGAAATAAGATGAAGCGATTTGATATCGGAGGGAGTCCACAGTTATCTATGATATACAAAATAAAATTAATTATTTTTAATCGAATCATTTAAAGAATTGTTGCAATATATGACTTATCAATCCATACTAATATTCTAAATCCAAAAATGTGTCTGCCCATCTGTTACCTTTTAGCGACTAAACGAGTGGACGGATTATTTAGAAGATTTAGAGACAATTTGTCAACGAAAGATTTTGCACACGAAATCGCAGGTAACAGATAGTTTTTTATAAATGTTTAATTATTAGAAATTCATTATTGTATGTTACCAGAAATGAACAACATTTCTATGGAGACATTTACTCTGAAAATGTCGTATTTTAAGCTGTCACGAAATTTAATTGCGATAACCTATGGGGACTTGCCGAGTTCATTTGTATTGTATACATTCTAAAGTTTAGTGGCTCAGTATTCTGTTGACCTTCTAAACTTTATTCGACTAACCTCTAATTCCCTGCAATGTAAATATATATCTAATAGTTGGAAATAACGTAAACATACTTGTATTTAATAATACTTAAATGCAAGTAATTATTTAAATACATTTATCATACACTGTGTCCGGTTTCACTTCCTTTTGGGTTGTCTTTTCAAATAAAAGATTGACTATGTTCATCATTGTGATATAATAATCTTCCTTCTTATTTTTCATTTAGTTATTAGTAACGAAAAGGTAACAAACAGATCCTTGTCTTTTCAGTGTCTGTCTAGACAGTCTTTCGCATTTATAATATTAGATAAAAGAAAATACATCCAAATAAATATAAAGAGACATATTATGTTATTTATTATATAGTATTTATTAATAAAGTAAAATGATATTCTACAATAATTTGTCAACAAATGTATCTTATTAGTTCATATTTTATATTAATGAAGTTGTCTTAGTAAATATGACTATTTTAGAGATAAAAACATTAGTAACATGTACAATAACAGAGTCCCAAAAAGGTATCATTATACAGAAAACATTTCTATACCTAAAATAATTAATTCATTGAAGCTACTAACAAGCATGTTAATTAAGGGAGGTAAGTGAATTACTTATTAGTAAAGGCTTACCTGGGTTTTACTAACACTGCGTAGAATTATCACAATAATGTAATCTATTTCGTGTATGAAAGCCATCCAATTCAAAGTTAATGAAGATAATGTTACCGCAATTTACGAACGAAGTAAGAAAAAAATCTGCAACATTTCTTTTCACTTCAGAATTTGGTAAGAAGCAATTACGGGAACGAAGTATAAATGCGCGTTTCTCTTACATATATAATATGTAAGAGAAAGAAACTCGATGGTTACAAGAGAAATAAATAATCCAACGTTTCATCTTATCTATCTCTTACCAGAACAGAGCCGTATCCACCACACACGTGTGTCAGTATTGGTATGCTCTAATAGATCTCTTTAATTATTGGAATAGTGCCTTTTCGTAGTCAAGATATATACAGAAGAGACCTGTATTTATATAGTTACCGTATCTATTATCTTTGTCTGTACTTACTGTACAAGGTTTACAAAGTCTGCATAGTATCTCTATTTTACCTATTTCAGCAGCCAAATAGGTTGATCTGTAAACTGCATTTTAGTTTGATTATAGAGTGTGAAATTGCAGGATATGGATATATTACACCTTACTTTAATTTCTTATGAGGACCTCGGTGGTCTAGTGGTTTAGCACACCGCTTTTCGTCCAATGATCGCGGGTTCGATTCCTCGTACGGCACAATCTTTTGTATTCATGAGTATAATTGTTTCTGATTGATCTAGGTGTTTTCATATTTACAGAAAAAATCTATGTATTTGTATCAGTTATCTAGTACCCATAATACAACCTTTAGCTAGCTAAACATGGGTTTAGATGGTGCTGTGTGAATTGTCCTGAGATTATTATTATTATAATGATATGAGAGGTACCACATACATCACATGTAGTTGAAACGTGATATTCATGATGTGATGTTCATGAACACACATATGTATCCACAGATGTACATACATTAGGTGAGCCTTCAACTTTTATTGTCATATCTGCCCTATCAAAATACAATATAGGTCTGTATGAAATTTTAATCCCTCATATTTTCATAATAATAAATAACGAAGATCTACAAACTAAAAGAAAAGACTGATCATAAACATTATTGAAACCAGACGTAAGAAAATGTTGGGACGCTCTATGCGTTACGGTGAACTTACGAACATTATTATTAAAGGAAATAGGAAAATGGGACGACCACGACATATTTATATATATTAATATGTGGTTATATCAAGCAGACGAGGAAAATTATTTCGTATCAACATTCAAATATAATGATGGAAGATCATAGCAAGTGGCAAGGGATTCACCGACAAGAGCGGAATTCTTTGTTTATAAAACAATGAGTCGTCATAAATATTAAGCAATTTGATTCTATATTACAGACCTGTAACATAGATGGTTATACGCCCGGGACTTTACGCCGACTATTATTAGGAATGTTTTAAATATTAATTATTATACTGTGAATAATAAATAAACAATTATAGCTAATAGTTACTTATAACTTCGATAAATTAACGTGGGTACGTAGATAAATATTTTCAAACATTATTACCAAGATGGAATACCAAGATCTCTCTACCTACGTTGAGTAAATACATTTGAGTTCCTGACCAGTTCTTCTCTACTTAAATACCTAAATTCTTATTGTAAATTAAGTAATAAATGACCATATTAATATATGATTAAACCTTGTAACAGAATCTGATAGCTCTTAAGTCTTGATTCTAAATTGTTGAAGAGATTATTTATATAATTATTTTATGTATATCCCAGATGAATACACATAATTAAAAAATTGACAGTGTGGGTCACTTTAAATTTTATAGTAATATGTCCCAAGATAAATATACCCTCATCTGTTATTCAATACAAACGACAAAGTGTATACACATAGTATGTTAAATAATATGTAGATTTTAAAATTACATATGGGTTATCAAGCTAATTCCTGGATCTAAAGTATTAAAATACACAACAAACAACTGGCTTTTAAAAAAAAGTAATTCAATTGAGTTTCTTGCCATAGCAAAAAAATTTTATGCAGTAAAACTTATTTTAAAATAAAATAAATTTTATATTTTTAAAATATATTATACATAATTAAAAAGTTTAATACAGATTGTCTGTAATAACTAACAAGTCCAATTGAGTTATGCCCCCCTCACTTATAATTATATTTTTATGTCAAGTAGAGCAAGCACTTTAAATTTAAATAAAAAATAATTTAATGTAATACTAAAACTACATCCATTATTTTTTTATTTTAATTCATGCAAATTAAAATTATGTATGATACAATATTGATTGACATATATTATGTATACTTTACAAAAGAATAATATAACCAAAAAGTAACTTTTGAGATTTAATTTAGACTTTAGGAGTTGTCTGATTTTTAATTATAACAGATTAATTCTGAAAAGTTCAATACTAACTCCTAAAACGTATTATTTATTCAGTGATATACACACATATGCCACAGTACCTACTCAGCTACATGTTTCATGAATATTATTTTTCCTTGGCGAATGAACGGCGGCCTTATATTTTCCGCTCGGGCAACGGAAATGAGTGTATTTTTCATATTTCGGGCGGACGCCATCAAGTAGCGAAGTATCCGCCAGCGTACCACAGAACATTAATTGTGCGTACACTCCAATGCTCATCGATTTAAGGTGTATCTGGTAACCTTGTGCTCATTCGTATAAATTATCTATAACACATTTTTATAAGCCACTATATGTCGCGATACACTTAGTATTGTCTTAGCGAGTTGTGAAGGGAAAACAATATTCTCCAAATGACACAGTACTCATTTATTTAATGAACCTTACAAAGTAGTAGAAATAAAAAAAAGATACCCGCAATCGGTTAAGTCGTTCTCAATTTATGCCGTGATTATTATTTCTATATATTAGACTAGATGACTTCGAATCTAGAATATATAATATTATCAAATTTCAAACTCAAATTAACTTTGATAAATAGTAAATAAGCAACTTTTGCTATTTATCAAGTCTATTATTCCCAAGAACTACTGTTCCTTTTATTCATAGTTTTAAGAAATAAAATGGTATACAAACTAAAACTTGAGCATAATAGATACGCGAAAAATACAATTACAGATAGTGTATGCAGTAAAACTAGAACAAACCTTAATAAAAATGTTTTTCTTTATGTTTCAGTGCTCCCCAGTAAGCCGTTTTTCTTGGACGAAGTGGGCAATAAAGTGGAGGACAGAATTGGTCCTTACCACGAAGGAGACACTTTAGTACTCAGCTGTCTCGTCATAGGAGGTATTTATTTAACTACAATTTAATTAGCGGAATATTTTTTATTTACCTAACTACAATGTCAAACGAGGCAACGACCCAACTAATAGAAAGAAGCAACCGGTGTTTAAATTCTTTGATGTTACATTGCTGTGTATGTTCATAATACGTCTCATATATTGCTATTTTTGAGGTATAAGGTTTCATGCATCCGAATCCTGTAATTTCGCTGCCATATCCAATGCTTCAAATCGAAATACTGTTTACAAAGCAAACCACTTATCGGTAGACATAGACAAGTAAATCCTACGCAGACGTCTCTGTACAATGTCTATTTCAGTTAAATGACGACCACAATTACCACCTGAACTTATCACTATGCCTATATTTACACTCTGAATTGAAATTTAAATCAAAAAGTCAATTATGCATTATACAGTAAAATTTAGGGTTAAAATCTTATATGAAAAGTACAAAACATCAGTCTAGATGAATATAGAGAGATAAAAATACTCTTAAGGATTATTTTTATGTACATATGAAAATATAAGACAGCCATTACAACAATTTGATTGCTATCTTTTATACAATATTATGATGGTACAATAGATTTTATAATTACATATAAATGAAAACCCTTTCTATAAAAAGTGAAATGTCTTCATGAACTCGAAAATGAGTAAAAACCCTCTTTTTTCGTTTGGAGTTCATAAAAACTCACTTGTAAAGCCTAAGCGAAAGTGTCCTATACGAATTAATTAATATTTATATACAAGAAATGCACTATTATCCTTCAGACTACAACACATGAATGCATTCGCGACAGACATCGGGATGAAAACAGATACAAAACTCTACTACGAGTAAAATCCATATAGATAATTACCTTCCTTTTGCTATGGAGCAAAAATACTAATGTATGGAACTTTATGAATGGCGCACACACAAAATATACTCAATGCCTCAGGCATCTTGTTACTTCAATTCTGCTACTCAATTTAATTAAACTACGCAAAAACATGTCACCGTATAAACTTTTTCTTTAATAGATTCTTCTTCTTCTTTATGTGCCGTCTCCTAGCGGAGGTTGGCGATCATCCTATCGATCTTAATTTTATCCACCGCTGTTCTGAACAAGGATCTGGCGCTAATTCCAAACCACTGCCTTAGATTATTTAGCCATGAAGTGCGACACCTGCCTGGTCTTCGGCGGCTCTGGATTATTCCTTCAATAATTATTTGTAAAAGACCGCATTTTAATAGATTATCATATAATTTGAACGTAATTACATAAATTAACCTCTAGTATTTATACCACGTGATTCCTAGAAAGTTAAGTTAATCAAGTGCGCGATTGGGAACAACTTAACACAAATTCTCGAATAATTCTATAATGATATATTCTCGAGCCTCGCATTTCGTAATTCGGAATTCGTAAACTTCGCAAACGACAAAACTTTGAATTGACATTATTGAATTAAATCAATGTACATATACATACATAATTATACTAAGTCGTATTGCTTTTGTTTTTTTTATTTATCTAATTATATTATGTTGTTTGTTGCTAACGTTAAAATCGACAGATGTCTTTGGCATGTCTTATTTATTTTTGTCTGGTTTTATTGACTAATAAAGTATGGTACAAAAGGTGAACGTAATGTTTATAGAATTATCTATCAATCTTTGCAAAGTGCAAAAATAATCTATAGCGGCATAGCATTATATGGGTATATTGTTATTATTATTTTATAATAATTTTCGGGCTCTATATCTATACAATTCTAACAAATTAAAACTTACTTTTCAACTTTAATTAAAGTGGAAATCCTACAGCAAACTTCTCAATACGACAGCAGATCGGAAATTCTAAAATAGTCACTTTAACGATTCATAATAGGATAAGCTTAAGTTTAAAATCTTTGTACAATCTAGAAATGTTATTGTGAAATTTCTAAACTAAAATTGTTTCTCAAAATTGTAGTGAATCAAATCGACATGACCAACATTTACTCTCACGAAATGTCATCCAAAAGATATACGCAAAGTATAAATAATCCACACTCCCCAATTCTATAAAACAATAGAACACTGCCTCACGTTGTATCCATCACGTAACTTGATGCTTCAACGGACAAAAATATTAGAATTTTGTGCCTGTCACATGAAGGAAGAAATATAGAAGACTTTAAATAACACATTGTACTTTCTAAATAAAATGAACATAGCAGATTTTTATGTAACATTAGTTAATAGTATATTACACTATCACAAGCAGAATATTACCTAGATGAATTAAAGCAGATTTATTATGTTTAGACTAAACAGTATCTGTAATCTTTTTATTTTCAACTTGTCTACTAAGTCTCTATTCAAATAATTTAAGTGTACTAATAATCTAGTGTTATTCAATCTATGTTAATAACCTGCAAGAAGAAGAATATCCATTCGGCTATATTTCTTATGTATACACGATACTATTTTTAAGAATTTTGCATTGCTTTTGGACTTTTAAGATTTATCAGTTTTAAGACTTCTTTTTGATATCGAATTTGCAAACTAATTATCCCAAATTAAAATAACTAGTAATTTACTTATACTTGTATATATTTACTAATAATATACTCCTAATATGGTGTTGTTTATTTAAATCAAACCGTTAACTTATCAGAAACTAGCCTACTAACTAACTAAACTAACTACCCCTAACTAATACAACCTATTATTAGTTACTCGCTGATAATGTAACTACGTATTTATACGTGTAATTTCATTCCTTTCAAATATTTTTTGATCCCATTTAATAAAAGCAATTTAAAAAAAATCTTATAAGTGTAACTCAATTACCTATTAAGTTCCCTTTATATTTCTTCACTGAGCAAATTTGAATTGAAAAAAATAACCAAAAAATATTCAAGCATATTCGTTCTCATACAATTTGCAAAGTTCATTCTGAAAAAATAAATAAATCAAATTTGTTAACTTTATTTTAACATCACAACCATATACATTTGTTAGATCTCTTTGTTTTGATATAACCCAGTTGTTGCCTTATTTGCAATTTAATGAGCACTCTTTTGTTAGTAAACAATATAATTTAGCGATGTTCATGTGTTTATTCTTCAAGATGTTAAGTTGTAGCTTTTTAAATACAGCGGGGGGAGGGGATTGGAGCCAAGGCTAGGTAGTAGTAGCCCTGGCTCAAACACACATCTATATATATAAAAATGTATTTAAATATTATATCAGTTGTTTAATACCAATGTAGGCTACCAACCTTCTAATATTCACGATAGTCATATGACACGATACATTTACTGAAAAGTATATAGATTATAAAGCGTCAATTATTCGCCTACTCATTATTGATCTGAAAAGACTTTTTATGTAATTTTTCACACACACAATTTTTCACACTCCTTCTGTTATCAACACGTCAAACAACCACACCTATAAAAGAAGCTCTATTTAGCTTGGAACCAGATGGCGCTGCTTGCTTTTCTTTTCTAAGTCCTCGCTTCTTATTATTACCACTGTTATATCCGGTCGATCAGCGTATTTTCCTCATTAAACGAGTGCCCAAGACGAGCTAACTGATTGATGATCTAATGATTTGGCTGAAGTCATCTTTGTACTTTCGAGCGCAGCGCAGGCCATCCTGCGAGAGCCCTGCGAGCATTATAAATTAAAGCATATTATTAAAAATAAATTGCTTTAAACGATACCTACGTTATTATCTGTTAAATTTTAAACTAGCTGCATATTCTTGTTTGTTCTGAAAAAGAATTTAAATTACAAATATGTAAAATTTGTTAACTTTACTTAATCAGCCCTACATTATTGTATGAGAAAATTTCTTAGCCGAGCCAAGAAGGAAGTTAATAGCAGCACACAAATCAGCAGCCACATGATGGGATTTTACCTGAGATAGATTGTGCAGTCTCAACCAAAATCTACTGTGGTATTCCAGTATGAATTGTAAAATATGGATGAGACATTACAATGTACAAAGATAAAATAAATTATTCATCAGAAACTACTGTGACACGAGCATGTTGGCGATAGTTACCGCATTCCGTCAAAGGACTCAATTTGTTTGCCATTCCAATTTCATAAAAAAACAACATCCAACAAGTATAGAATATAATTCATTATTAAACATAACCATTATTGTCCCTATAGAAGAGGAATGTGACACTACTGTTGTCGGCTATGTGTACATATATACTAAAATCGAACAAGTGCGTGTTTGTCACTCATTTATGATTTGACAATGGTACAATTCATCATTCATCAGTACCACTACGAGTATGTACCATCAAATCACTATTCACGTAAAATTGTTTTAACGTATTAACGTAGAATTGTTTTACCTTAAACCTTGACAAATTTGTTTACTTTCACTACAAACAGTGTAATTACGTTATTTCTGTTTACTTATTCGAAAAAAAATGTAATATCCTACTTATTTTCATGTATGTAATCAGCAGTTGGAATATATAACAATTACTAACGATTAACATTAGATACAGACAGAAAAAAATATTTTTATATATTATCATTATTTTCAGTTTTATTTACAAACATTATACAAAAAACTTACGCAAATGCTAAAGTAAATAGTGCACAAACATTATTTTTCTCATAAGTAGCTATACGACCAGGATCGGATTAACCGAGAGTTACAATGCCTAGAATCTGGCCTAGTATATAACAGACATTCTCTCTCCTCTTTACCTTCTTTTATACAAGTATTTATTTCTTAACTTGAAATTATGTATAAAGATTCCAGTCTTGACAATATAAAAAAATGTCTCTTTTGTTTCTACACAAGGAGTAATATACTCGTATATGGAGACATCTTTATTCATCGTATAGATAAATCTACTTTACTCATTATAAAGATGACATACGAGCACAGTTTAAAATAGAAAAATTTTTTTTTGGATAATCTAATAAACCTCATGATAGTTTCATAAAAAAATTGTAGGTATTAGCAATTTATATACCAACTTGTTTATGAATAAAATAATACTATGTTTTTATTCAGAATATGATTTATCTAAACATTTCAAAATTTATCCAATCCAATTTTTATTTCGCCATGTTGTAATATATTATGTATTCGTTTTCTAATGATGAAATCACATTACAATGGAGCTGCGAACTATAGTACTGAAATGTATTAAAAAACATGACATGACATGAAATACATCTTCAAAAGAGGTATTCGAAAAATATAAAGTTAAAAATATCATACATACATATATCTATACAACGTCATTTTACAATTTACACATTTTCTTAAAAGTAACATCTAAGAAATATGTTTAATTTTAATTATACAATTTTGATAAAACAAAAACGTCGCATGGCCACCGAAATTAAAAACTTTACGCTTAAAAAATACAAGAACTTACTTCAAATTACCTAAGTGAAATGTATACGAAAAAGGCATAATAATATTTTTACAACAGCCAAAATAGCTTACACGTGTAGGCTGTGGTCGTGAGAAACTTTGTAAACTTCGGCTCCGTCAAGGGGAAACAAAATCTAATTCCCAAAAATCTTAAGGCCACGTAATAATGTAAAATTACACAATACTTGTCCCTACCAGGATTAATTTATTTTCAATTTCTCATTTAGAAATTCCTCTCCTTGCATTCCCCGGTCGCAAACCGCCAAAAGCTTTTATCGACCAGTCAGTTCACTTGTGTGTGACAAAGGGCGAGGAAATGGCTTACAATCAGTTACTATGAATTTTTATAGGCTGAGGAAATGACAAGCCTGTAACATATTGTACTTGAATGAGTAGTGTCCAGATACTACTATTTAGATTCTATTGTATAATCAACCCTTGTAAAAGGTAATCTACGTGTAAACACGCATCTTATCCTGTAATTGAAAATAAAATTACAGTAAAAGGCATGATATATTAGTCTTTTGGAATTACAAAGCATGAATGGATATTACGAGTGTCACATGATAAAGTGATATTCTTAGCTCTGTACATGTATGGTGACCGTTACCACTTACTTCCACGTGAGCCATTAGCTTGTTTGATTACTTATTTATTATAAAAAAGCCTTATCACGACTAAAAGAATCTTAATGAAATTTAACATAAATATATGTATATCGCTAATTAGACGACGTAGACTATTTTTGGAAATAGATCTTTTATCTCAATGAGAGCAGGTAAATTCATAGGTAAAAACTAGTGTACTATAGACCAGCCATATAAACAACATCACCGCAAGTTATTCCAACATACCTATTTAATGGCGAAGGATGTTTTGTTGCTATGTAGGTAACATTTCTATAACTAGCTACCCCGGAAGGCACATGTAATTAAACGTAACTCAATGTCAAAAACCGTGTATAATAAGAAACAACAAAATATGCTATACTTTATTTAAAGTTTTAATTGTCCTTTATTAAGGCCTACGCTACACAATGACAGTTTGCTTTTAAATTTATTACACATTCTACTATACGCTATAATTTTCATATAAAGACATACCGAAAATATTTACTTAATAACTTCATTTTTATAAGAATTATCACAGCTGTGTTGTCATACAAAAAACCGAAATATGTTATTAAACACTGACTAACAACTACACTTTTCTCTACACTTAAAACTGAGTAAACTATACGTGCCGTGCGTATATGCATACGTACCAGGCAACTTTTCTGAAATGCGCTAATACATTACTGCTGCTTAACAATAAATGTGCATATTATTTACAATAAAATACATAAATACTGTATGTATTTACGTACAGTAATAAAATAAACCTACTGTTTAATATTATAATCATATTAATCATACATATTATATACAAGTTATATAAACTATACGAGCTTTATAAATAAGTGTTACCATAAGGTGGGCCGTCAACATGTTTGTTATTCCAATTACATGAAAAATAACGATTTATTATATGTTTGTTGGTATGGAAGGCAGAAGGATGGATATTTGTTAATGGTTCATGCAAAAACTACTGAACGGATTTTGATGAAATTTAGTAAGTGTGGTGCAGAAGAAGTCAGCTAGTTAGCAAGCTAACTAGCTGACTTCTTCTGCACCACATATTATATACCAAAAACCAAGTTATATAATAAATTGTATTATATATACTGTTACTAATATTATAAACGCAAATATTTGTGAGTATGGATGAATAGATGAATAGAGGGATATTTGTTACTCTTTCACGCAAAAATTACTGAATGGATATTCATTGAACTTTACAATAATACAACTTGTGCATCAGACTAACACATACGCTGTAAATTTTACGCGGATGAAACCGCGGGCACAGCTAGCTTATTAAATATCATAACTCGATACGTAAGTTATGTTGAACGTCGACGTCGGTGTCAATAGCCGGCAGTATAAGTAAATGTGTCAATCAATATAGAAATGAACGGACAAATGCGCAAATAGGACTCACCCCTCGAGAGTTAAGCATAAAAACAAATAATACATTATTATATTTCTAGATTTAGTATATTATAGGATATATAAACATAGGGATAAACCCATGTTTATCCTTACGATAAGGTTTTGTATGCACATATACCAATTAATAATATACCTACATGAATAAAGATATTTTGATTTTTTTTTTAATTCACCAATCTTCCTATTTCGATTTCGACAAGTCTCAGAGCGAAGTTGGAGCTGATTCTTTACATCTTTTACCACAGTTCACTTTGGAAAAAGTCGTCATGATGGGTACCTAAGTAAGTATTTTAACCATCAGGCTGCTTGCTTTTTAAGCTGTTTGGGTTGAACGATGACATAAGGTAGTGAAATGACAGCATGAGGAAACATGATAGCCCAGTCCTCGAATAATATAGCAATGAGCTGTATCACAGGCGTCACATGATAATTCATTATATCCTTAGTACTGTTTAAATATATAAGCGACAGTTGCCACTTACCATTAAGTGGGCAGTATGTTTTCCATTGTAATAACAGTAAATAAACCGAAATTGTACTCAATTATAAATAGTAATTATTCGAACTCAAGACCTTATCTATCGATAATAACTACATATTGCCAGGTCGTTCATTTTTCTTATTAAGAGATTTTTTTTATTTACAAAGGTGGAATGATACCAGTACTCCGAATAGGAATGGTAATGCATTTTTGATATCACACCCGAGATACCAACCATGCATTGATAATGTGATGCCCATAGTGCTGTTCATGTACATTGGCAATGGTTACAGCTTACCATCTTGTAGCCCGTTAATTCCTTCCTTCCCTTTGTTTGTCAATCCAATTGCTTAAAAATAAATCTTGTCCACAGGCAGTCCGCCACCACGAATCAGCTGGTACTCTGGCAACACCCTGGTTGATGCTTCCGACGGTGCTAGCGATATACCCAGCGTAAAAGAGAACGTGCTCTACCTCCCTCTCAATAGAGACACACCCGCCGATCTGTTCTGCAAAGCATCTAACACTGAACTGGCGCCACCGTCAGAGGCATCTGTACACATTGAGATATATGGTAAATATGATAATTCTAAGAATTTATATTTGTAGCATACTACTTTACACAGAAGGGTACTGAATTGAAATCAGGCGAACCCCCAAAATAATTGTGCTAAATTAAATATTGGCTGATTCTCCGCTGAAATAAATAACGATCAAAATTTAATCCGATGGCCTTAACGGATATAATGTTATTTAATTCGGTAATATTTTTGTTATATTTGTCTTCAACCGACTACGGCAAGGAAGATGTGTTAAATTCGACTGTATTCACATTTTTTTCTCCGAGAACTAATTTTGATTAACTTTTGTGTGATCCCATATTAATTTATTTAAAATCTGACCAGTAGTTTTTGAGTTATAAGGATAATAACACAATGAGATTGAAGTCGGTTATTTCGTGGCCTGTATAATTGGTTTATCTCAAGCAATAAATTAATCTCATTAATTAAATTTATATCTCTTGTACAGCTTATAATAATATATATATTGGAATATTGAGTGTAATTGTTATAGAATGTGTACAATTAGATATAAAAAACGGTGATACTTTAAATTCCTACCTACTCGGACGAGCTGGAACATGTAGGAATTAATCGAATAGAATCAATCTTCATTGAAATAAATTTAATGTAAGCACCTTTAAATATTTAAAATGAAAATAATTCATTTATAGTGTATCGTCAAAAGGATTTCCACTCATAATGCAGCGTTGGTATCACCGCATCGTTGAATTTCAGTAGGAATCTCGTTAGTTCACGGGTGCATGCATAGGAGCTTAATAAATTAAAGCCGGCAATACTTTTATAATGATTTTTAAATACTGTATTATTTTTATTATTTATTTCTATTTACTAGTAAATCGCCCTATTCACCAGTTTGTCGCCTTTATTTCACAGTTACTATAGGGATCTCATTTTTGTAGAACATAAAACCCTACTTACAATAAATGTAACATACTAGTTTTTTTTTTTTCATTTATTCTTGAAATATTACTAATTTGAAAGTATATCTGTGTGTCGCTTTGTAATATTTTAAATACTGAACGGATCTTAATGAAAAACGAAATTTACCATGAGGACTTAGTCTTAGTCTATCATTTATCTAAAAAATACAGTACATTCTAAAAGAAAAATCAAAACCTTCCTTTATATCGTTTACATTACGACAGTCATATACGGTTATGTATGTAGCTGTTATTAAGTTAATAAAAACAGAACGTTCTGTTGAGTTGTTACGGAACTTCGGTATTAAAGCTCTTTCCTCTGCATTTAGGGATTCTAATTAAAATTATACACCGGAGAAATGATGTTGTAAAAAGGAATTGAAAAATTAATATCCCAAAAAAACGGTTTATGGCAGACATTGGTATGTTTATGCTTGAATAAATTAGATGCTATTATTTTTAAATATTAAATTTTTACTACAAATTAGAGAATTTAGAACAAATATTGAGTTTCATGACAGTTTGTCATATCGATCGATATTTCAATTAAACAAATTTCTTTTTCTCTCTCAGGTTCATATTAAAGGTACTTAAGTACACTAACTGGAGTAGGTATCTATAAACTATACTACTATCCTATCGACTTCCATTAATGATAGTCTCATTATCTCAATACCCTATATATATATAGTTCTAGAGATACAGGTACACATTTTGCTTAATATACAAACAAAAAATAAAGCACTTGAATTGAAAATTTACTGTTGAAAGTATATGTATTTTATATAGGTAGACTTTGTAAAAAATCAATTAAATGGGTGCCTCAGACTCGCCTAAATGAATGAACAAATCAATATTTGTAAGATGTGTGATGTGTTTTATTAAAAGGTGAGATAAAGCAGTGAAATATCCATCCGAATAGTAAGGCATGAATGACATCGTGTTACATAAGGCATGTATGCAATGTTATGTCCTATTATTGTATATAGGCGTCTGTTACCACATCAGTCATCTTGTTTTGCCATTCCAATTATAAAGAAGGTACACTTAATCTCCATGGTCCTGTTACTACGATTATCATTTGCCTTGAAATGCATCTTATAATAGAACACGCTTAAGACTCCACAAGGGGTTTCATTCAGTTTCAGCTCAGAACGTGTCGATTCAGTGGGTACATGGAGCAGTAAAGCACACGCTCCGATCCGGCAAGCCGGCTGTAGCGCAGTGCACCGTCCAAGGTTCCTATCCGCAGCCAGTCCTGGAGTGGTGGTTGGACCATCAGCATCTCACCAAACATAGTAATCAGGTACTTACTAAAGCCATGTTTTGTCTTGAAGTCTATGATTCATATCCATTATGTTTAGTTAAATTATGTTTAAAGTAGGACTATAAAGAAAAAGATATATCATTTTTTATAATGAAAATTAAAACGTAAATGTACTTTTATAAAACAGGTAAAATCCTATTTAAAAATTCTTTCATTCATAGAAACCTACATTATCAGTGAGTAACATGGGCGAAATTTAATTTTTAAAAAGATAAGAAAACCGATAATAATCTCAGCCGTGCGTCGCGTCGCCAGAAAAGCAATTATTTTTTTAGAAATTATACTAATTTAATTCATTCTTTGCTATAAAGTACCAAATAAACCGACGACTCACTGTGTTTTACCGAATAAAATAAAGTCTTAATCACTTACTTTATAGTTCTATTCGTGATACAATTCATAGGTGATGATTATAGACATGAACAGCAAGCACCACAGACTTCACATATGATGTTACTAGCTTCATAGGACACCTCACGTTTAAAGGACTATCTATTATTCATTTCTTTTGTATTCTATAATTTTGCAAACATTACTAATACCACTACTAATTTCTTGTTAATAGAGTTGGAACAATTTGACCCGTACATCAATTTCTTATTTGGAGCTGATACCGTCTGTGGCCGAGAATGGTGCGACTCTCGCTTGCGTAGCCACTAACGCCGCCATGGCGCCCAGCCGGGGCTCCAAAGCTGACGTCATCAAACTTAACGTTACCTGTAAGTTGAATTTTTTTTTTTTTGTGGATGATAATGGAATGGTGCACTCAACTGCGCTAACGGTTTACGCTGGCGGGGCACCAGTGGAGGATGACAAGATGAGCATGAGGTCAGGTCAGTTAGCCCATCGTGACAAATTCGCCAGGAATTTAACACGATGGTTTCCAGGGGGAACCGCGTGGAGGTCGACCTGACATGTTACATTGCTAGCAATGGGGTTATCAATCCATATTACTAACAATCCCTTTCCCCCCCTGTAAGTTGAATTATTTAAGTCTGTTTAATTCCCTACAGACATTCAAACTGCAACAAAATTAACTAAAGTCTCAGTGCTGTATCAAATTGTGGTATTGGACTAAACTCAACTCATTAACTCCTTAAATAATTCCAATGAAGAACAATTATTATTATAAAAATAATTATTATTTAAGTAATAATATCTATATTTTGTTACACTGATATTATTGATAACTCTAATATTATTATACGATTAGAAAAATATAAACAGAAATATGAAAAAAAATCAACGGGAACAAAAAGAAAAGCACTAATGATTGAGATACTCTCTTAGATCGACAATTCTTAGTATATTTAATTGAACTTTATTTTTTTCAGATAGCCCCATAGTAGAAATTGCCAAATTAGGTGATGGGGACCTAAGTGATGTAGCTGAATTGGACCCTTTAAATTTAGAATGTGAAGTCCAAGCGAACCCACCTGTTAATAAATTTATATGGTATCATAATGTAAGTAACCTGCTATATTTATTAAAATTCTCTTATTTATTAGACATGTTTGAGTTTGTAAATAATAACGGGAAGACGTAACGACTAAGGGAAAGGGAAGTTCTTTATTGCTACACACAATAATAGTTTAGCGGCAAAACTAAATTCTAGTATTGACTGTTCAAAAGGTAAATAACACTATTTCAGTAAGAAACAGTTTTAAAATTGTAAAAGAAAGTGTGAAGTGATATAGTATAATCGCTGATCTGAGAAAAACTTAGAATTCTGATTAAAAATAATAATTGTTAGTACTAGTTACATGATCCAGTATTTTAAAATATAAGTACAGAAATGTTTTAATATCAACTGTCTACAAACATTAAATATTCAATATATATTATGCTTTTGATCTGTTTTAATTTGAAGGATAATAGATTCACAAAGTTGCGTCTAAAATATTCTTACTCTTATAACTTACTATTAACATAAATAATTACAGGATAGTGAAATAACTCCTGGTTATATATGGGGCAGTAATGTACATTCTCACAAGTTACTGGTAGAAGAGGTGTCCAGAAAACATTCTGGGATGTACACCTGCGGCGCCAGCAACACGGTCGGCGAGACGAGAGCTGAACCACTTAGCATCACTGTCTACTGTAAATATCTTAATTCATTTATCATTATGTAGTTGATATTATATTTCAATAAATCTTTTGTTTATTTACGTATTTTTATTTTATTGACAAAAAATACATTGTACAAAAGGTGAACAAGAAGCATTGTCTACCAGTTAACCAATGAAATAAAAAATGCAGTTAAAAAAAGTAATCCTTTAATCTATTGTATGCTGGTTATCATTAGCACAATTATTGGTTATACGAGAACTTCAGAAATAGTGTGCGTCAGTATTACTTTATTAAAAATACTAAATTATTTGTGTAGTTGCAGGTTCAGTGTTGTATATCAACAATCATATCAACAACATCTATTAAATCAACGATCAATAAATTTTCAGATCCACCTGAATGCATAGGATCAGGCATCAGCCTCGTCAAGGAGAGCATAAAATGCAACGTACATGGCCTACCTTCGCCGGACACCTATTTCTGGCACGTGCAACCAGCCGGCATGGATGTACAGCATCTCACCACCGGATCGCCTATACTCCCTCTCTCTCAGATCAACGAACCCCTCTCTGGTATCTACTTTTGTAATTATGTATTTGACACAATCAAGAAGGAATTTAGATTTCAATAAAATTATTTAAGTGGTAGTATCGGTCTGTGTATTTACAATACCATGAAGTTTCGAATTAAGTAAAAATTATAGACCACCAGGACCATAAGTATAACTTCTATAAGAAAATAAGCATAACCAAATAACGAAACTTAACGAAATAATAATATCTTCCGAAATGTTGAAGATACTTCTAGAGAATAAACTAAAATGGCGTAAATTTATACTTTCTTTAGGTTTCATAGTTTCAAGCAAACTAACACCACTGACTGCTATATGGAATATATGCATGATTTACCTTTTTAAATTTATGTAAAGTTTAAATACCGGAAGGATACAGCAGTGTTCTTATTTCTGAATATTATTTTTTTTAATCATAACTGCGTAAATCTGCTATAATACATTTAATATCAAACTAAGTACGTATTAGGATACGAAATGAAGTTGTCTATTGAATTACAATACCCATTTCGATTTTCTGTTATGGTATTTATTATTATAATATTGTTGTTCAAATAAATAAATAATCAATATTTATAGGAACAGTGAAAGCGAGTTGCGAGGCGGGTAATGGTATAGCTTCCCAATACGAGGTTTGCGAGAGAATCTTCAGCCTGGAATCACTTCGGCCACCACAACCCAACCAGTGCGACTTAGCTTATGAGTATGGCGAGTTTCAAATGAGGTGTATTCCTGGTAAGTTTGGTTTAAACATTAAATTTGTTCACGCTTTCTTATAGGGTAGATTAAGTTATTCACCTCAATGATTATACTTATACAATTATAAAATCAAGTAGGTAACATTTAGCAAGGTCAACTTCTATGTACTTTCCAGAAATCTTTGGTATAAAAATGAAAAGTGACATGTTATACATATTATATGTATATTTAGGATGTATTTATAAAAAATAACTAGTAAGTAGATCAGTTGCCTAAAAGTACAAGTACTTAGATTTGGACGAGATGGCGCTGTGTGAAAAATCCTGGTTACTTACCACCTTTACCTACTCCTTTTTTACTTTTACTAATTTTCGCATTCTTTATATTTTCAGTGGAGAATGCTACGTACTACGAAATATCTGTATGGCGCATGTCTACATCCAATTCCTCGCTATATCTCGAGCGACGTGGTTCCATTGGTTTTGGGACACGGCAGGCATTAGCTCAAGGAGGTATAGACGGCGCTCCTGGAAGCATAGCGCCAACGTGGTTGGTTCGGGGAGCCCTAGGCGCCCTACGGCCCGCAGACGAAGCTGGAGCCGCAGCATGCAACAGATACGGATGTTCAGCCCCTCTGCTGCTGAGACCTACGGAGAATTTATTGCTAGCAGCCGAACCACCATGGTGGCATTGTAAGTATTCAATTAATAATGAATTTGTAGTAAAGGCAAACATAATGCCAATCTTGAATCTCTGTACTAAAACTCTATAAACGTTTTCAAAATTATTTTAAACTGGCTGCTAACCATGACTTTCACAATTTCAATCACAATCTTCAACCTCCATATCTTTCATTAAGGTCCCTTCAGCCGTTTAGATGTGAAAAACTAACAAACAGTCAGTCAAACGGACACATTTTCGCATTTATAATCTTTGTATGGATTTTTAATATTCTAACTAGCTTTCAGTTTTCTTTTTACTTTATGACTAGTTCTGAATACTATTTTTAACTTACTTTAGTACGTTAAAAACCACCAAGGGCGTCAAAGTCTGTTATTACTACTATCTGTATAACATACCCGTTGTATGCTTTTCAGTTATACTAGATAAAGATGTGGGCATATCTCTGGGTGCGGTGGTATTGGTAGTCGTGTTCGTGGTGTCGACGGTGCTGGTGGTGAGGCTGGCCAGGAGGCCGCGGGGCAAGCCGCCACCCGTCATACAAGTGCTGCAATTAGACGACCTCACCAGGAACTACCTCGACACTATGGCAGGTTTGTATTTAATTTTTCGTTATAATTTATCATATGACACCCGGGATACCACTCATGCGTTACTATTCTAGAGGACTAAGGTGTCAGGCCTCTTATCTTGTGGTTGCACTGCCTAATCTCAGCCTATAACCGAAATATAGCTTAAAAATAACTTAATTATTACCGGCATTTTTTTTTTTAGTGTAACATTTAACTCCTATTTTTCACATTTATCACGTATGAATCAAAACAAAACCTATTCGAAAGTGATTTCCTATTACTAATTAATCATGTACCAAACTAGTCGTTCCTAACTACTTTGACAATCTTCTAAACAGCTCTAACTAAGAGTTCATTGATATTTAATTCTTTTACAGAGAACAAAGTACGCGCATCATGCAGTCTTCGTTCTTGCAGTAGCGGCTACTCGGACGGGTCAGCTTTAGACGAGGCAGCGCCATCTGTGGACCGCCGCCGGAAACCTCCAGCCATTTGGGAACAGTGGGATGCCCCTCCTCCTGACGTCACGCTCACCCTACATAGGAAAGTGCCGTGTGAACAGTTGTTTGTGACGAACGCAATCGAAATCAGAGATTGCGAATTCGAGTTCTAGTGG